CCGGGCGCCGCGCGCCCCTCGTGCCCACCTTCTGCGCTCTCCGCGCTCCAGCTAGCGTGGCCGCGAGCTCCGGGCCCACCCAGGAAGGTGCGGCCAAACACCGACCATCCTGCTGGCCCAGAATCGAATAGAGCATGATGAATGGAGGCGAGGTAACTAACCACACGCGCTCGGAAGCGTCCCACTCAGGTGATTACGGGGTGGGGTGCGGAAAGCCTGGAGGCGGTGGACTAGAGGTGGCGACACTGGATGGTGGCGACCCCAGGACTGGGCCAGGGAATACACGGGTTACTGGCAAAACGAACAGTTATAATCCATGGAGATAGCCCAGTCACCCACATGTTCAGAACATGGTGTGACTAATCAGCTATTTTTGGCATACCTTGAGAGATTAGAAAGTGACCCTTGCCACACCTTGAATTTCCTTGAATACATGGTAATAACTCGAACAGAAGTCACGCAGTTGATAGCTGAATGCACTGTATCAAGTTCTGATGTGGTTGGTTAGTTTAGAGGTCTGACTTCCTGTCTACTCTGGTCCGTAGAAGAACTCTTGAAGTCTTTCATTCTAGTTCACTCCAGTAAGGTGAGTGCCTGTGACTTGGACCTACTTCCAAGAACTAGCTGGGAAACGTCCCTTCCCCTAATTCATTAAATGTTGTTTACCAATGAACTTTACTCCTCCTTTTCCATTCCACTTGTTAGGCAAACTCACTGTCATTGAGTCAATGCCAACAAATAGCGACCCTGTAGGACAGGATAGCATTGTCCCTGTGAGTTTCTCAGTATAAACGGGAGGAGGCAGAGAGTCCACCCCTAGAAGACAGCTGCTGCCAAGTGCTAGAAGAGAGACACAAGCAACGTGCCCTGAGAATTAGAAGCAGCAAAATGTGACTAAAAATAGCAAGAAAGTTTAGAGATGTGATTCTGTTGAACTGTATCTTGTTAGTTGGCTTGCTGTTGGAACTGACTCAGGATGATCTGGCTCAGGGCAAAGACTGTGCCTGGTATTCACCATCTCCATGATATTTTTATTAGTGTTAAGACATGTATTAACTGTTTTGGGTTTTTTAAATCATTTTATTTTGGGGCTTTTACAGTTCTTATAACAATCCATACATCAATTGTATCAAGCGTATTTGTATATATGTTGCCATCATCATTTCCAAAACATTTTCTTTCTTCTTGATCTCCATCTCCATGGCATATGCTAATGCTTGAGTTCACTGTTAAGGCTACTGCTCAAGCTATATCTTAAACAAGATTTGATGAGGTAAAGAAGCCCACGTTAGTAAGATAGAAAATAAACATAGACAGCGAATCAAAATGAGCAAAGATGTATTTGGTAAACAACAAATCAAACACTACCATCGAGTCAATTC